TCCTACTTCTTTAAGCTAGTCTATCCACTCTTACATGGTATTTTTTTTCCTACTTGTCTTCAAAGTTTAGTTCTTAGTATGGTGCTCTTCCTCTCTCTCTCCCTCCACCCCCCCATCCCCATTCAACATTCACCAGGCTTTAACTCTACATCTTTTCAACTTAGAGTCAAGTCTATACTTGTACATCAAGCCCCTTCCAGGTTTCAGCCCCATTAAGTTTCATTTCACAATCAATTCCTCAACTTGGATATCTGACTCACTTTCCTGCAGTTGCCATAACTCCCTTCCTTCCCTGAACCCCACTTCCAGGCAGTCACGATGTCTCATTTAGCTTGGGATAGCAGCTACTCAGTTCCAGCCAAGTGTTGCCCATAGCTGCTGGATATTCCGCTTTTTTGTCAAAAGAAGACCAAAAATTGAATTGATAGTGGAAATGTAGATTTCAGGTGAAATCTTCCAATGTTTAAATACTGAGAACTACTTAAAAAAAACTCAGCATCTGGTTCAAACAAAACCTACCTACAGGCTTAGAGTCAGATTGTGACTTGTAGCCTAAGAAGTGAAGGCAAATCCTTTTGCTTTCTATTCCAAGATTTCTGAAACCAGTCTGAAACTACCTTCTGAATTTGAGTCATAGTGTCACACCCCACTTTTCTTGTCTAATCTCTACTCATTGGGATCTCAGTATAAACATCACTTCCTCAAGACTCCTTCCATGATCCTTCTAGAGAAGACTATGTTACATCCACCACTAACCATTGTATTTCATAGTATCTAATGCAATTCTAAATAAATAGCTTTGTGATAATTTTTTTAATGTATGTCTCCCTTGCTGCTATGTGGTAAGCTCCTTCACTATCTCTTCCATCATTTTCTCTGTAGTATCCACACAGTAAGTGAATGATTGATGTCTTTAACTCTTATAGACCATTTGAAGACTTAGAGGAATTAAATAACCTTTATGTCATAGCTAGTAAGGAACTGAGATCTTGCATGTTGAAAAACCTACACACTTTCCATTATAGAAATGTTAACCAAGGTGGCGCCTGGGTGGCTCAGTCGTTAAGCGTCTGCCTTCAGCTCAGGTCATGATCCCAGGGTCCTGGGATTGAGCCCCGCATCGGGCTCCCTGCTCCGCAGGAGGCCTGCTTCTCCCTCTGCTGCTCCCCTTGCTTGTGTTCCCTCTCTCTCTGTCAAATAAATAAATAAAATCTTAAAAAAAAAAAAAAAGAAATGTTAACCAAGCTGAAATCATTTTCTAATAATCCGCATTTAGTTGGAGTCTTTCCTTTTCAGCTTACGGTCGCTGTTGATATATATGAAATTCTAAATCAAATAATATATAAGAGTCTTATTATGAAATGTTGTTTAAATAAAAATAAGCAAAAAATGGTTTGCATTGCTTCCACAGAAAGGAACAAACCGATGACCTAGACAGAAGAGTAAACCACAATGAGTAATGCAAAAGTGGACTGCCTAATCTTTACTTCAGAGGGTGGCAGCTGAATTTCAGTTTCAGGCTAGGCAGCAGGATGTCTAATTCATGAGGAAAAAATAACCCAACCATCCATTTTGTTGTTCCAGGATTAGAGAAATTACTCGGAATTCTAACTGCTTCACCCTTGACTGCAGTTTTCCACTGAGGTCTCTAAAATAGAGACTTTAGTACCCCAAAAGCCAGGTGTCAACAATGTGAATTAACCACCAAACTGTGAGAAAAGGTGGATCTTCACAACTTCCTAGAGCACCTACATGTAATTGGGATTTATTTTTCAAAGCTCTCAGAGATTACAGTACCAGAAATGTATTTTACAGGGCTATTCACTTCAGTGGAAAATCCCTTCAGTTTATCACCCTTAAAGATTTCTATTCCATGTTCATACTCCTGTATCTGTAAGCTACTCTTGGATAGTTAGTTTATGCCACTGTGAAAGCTCATATGCATTAATATTTATGTGTTGGAACTTTTGATAGGCCTACAGATGCTGAGGGGAGTTTCCTTTCATGAAGACAGACAAGATTATAATGAAGATGGAGAAGTCAAAGGGCACCAGAGATCTTGACTCCATGTAAGTCAGCTCCATCTAGGAGAAGAAAGCTACAGCAACCCCTCCTCAGTTTACTTAAAGATTTGGATGCCCACATCTCCATTAGCCAGATCCCAGCTACACAGAAAATAAGCAAGTCTCTTCCACATCAAATTTTGCTCATATCCCCTTACTACCTCCCAAAGACATATAGAAGCAAAAATCATCACATCTATGTATTCTGTTACTTTACTAGTATTTTTTAAACTCGTATGTCAGCTCTGCCCTAGATCCTAGGGATATAAAGACAAAACAAGAGAAAGACATTCATCCTGCCCTTGAATTTAGCTTCATAAAAAATTGTTAATCCATGAGGAGTATCTTCAAATATGTGTCTAACACAGTAATGGAGTCTATTTGAAATTGAAAATGCTTATTGATGAAGTTTAAGGTTAGATATATGGTCTCCTACCTCTAGTTCCCTGTCCAACTCTGCTCTGCCAACCAAATGCTTAGTAAGATCAAATCACACTGCTGAAATAAATACAGACTCAAAGACTTATCTTTATTCACCTTGATCTTTTGGGCTGCTATAAAACAGGTATGGCCATGTGATTCCAAGAGTACAAAGATGAAGACTTCAGATATAGTAGTATCAAATGTCAGTGATTTAAAATGTATTGAATTTTCCAAAATACAAAGACCCTTTGGCAAAAATTTCATTAAAAACATTTAATGCACACAATTTTAGAAAATTTAGGCAAACAATTAGAGATTAAGAAGAAAAAACAAGTTAGAAAGAAAATCTCCAGGTCAAGAACGCATGGGTGGCTCAGACGGTTAAGCGGCTGCCTTCGGCTGAAGTCATGATCTCAGGGTCCTGGGATCCAGTCCTGCATGAGCTCCCTGCTCATCAGGGGAGTCTGCTTCTCCCTCTCCCTCTGCTCTTCCCCACCTCTTGTGCTGTCTCTCTCTCTCTCAAAGAAATGAATAAAATCTTAAAAAAAAAAAAAAAATCTCCAGGTCTAAAATACCTATTTGATGGACCTTTGACTTCCACATTCTCTGCACTCACTTGGGCCCCTGCCAACCCCAACCAACCCTCTAGAAACCTGTGCTTTCCCTTCCATTGTCACTGCCACTGCCTTATATCTGGCCCTCGTTGTTTTTTTCTTAGAATATCCCCATGACTTTTTTTTTTTTTCATGACTTCTTAATTAACTTCTCTGCACATGGTTTTAAGGAGGGGGTCACATAAATCACTTTCAATACCATACTTTATGACAGATATGTAGACACAGAACTTTGAGAACACACTCTTAGGAAAGACCATAATCTTTGTTCTGATCTAAGAAACACAAGGAGGGTTTCCTGTTCCTGACATAACTGTGGTGTAAGAGTGGAAAGACAGCTAGCTACTCTTCCTCCAACATTTATAAAGTCTATTTCATCCAAGACATGGTCTTAATTCTTTACCCATTTAATCCTCATACTATTTCCACATTTATATATGAGAACACTGAAGCAGAGAGATTAAGTAACTCGGCTGTGAACACACAGCCAGTACCTGGAAGACCCAGAACTCAAACTCAGTATTCTGGCTCCACAGACCATGCTCTTAGTCATCATGACTCATTGGCATATGTGTGTGTGTGTGTGTGCGCTTATATGTCTATGTGTACTGTGTATGTCTACATATATATACTATATATACACACATATAAATATATATGTATATATATAGACTTAGACATATAAATACACATAGTGCTTGGATCACTGTCAGGCATATCAAAGAGGGTTAGTCAAACTCTACTGAAAAAATTAAACCAGAAGAGAAAAGGTGCTCAGATTCTAAAGGGAAAACTATGTAAACTGTTCCAAACAACGAAGAGAGGGCATGACAACAATACGGAACAGGCTCTGGTTGGCTTGCCTTTCTCCACTTCAACAAGGAGACATTTATCAAATGCAAACCTGACTGTGTCATTGCCCCGTTTCAATGCTGGGAATTTGGAAACTTGGGGAACCTCACTGCGGTGTTGCTCAGACTTTTACAGGAAACATCTCTCCCTAATGGCTGGCAGATGAGAGCAACCACATTCTTACTAGGCACCTAGCTGAATGGGCAGCCACAACTGAGTTTTCACAGACCGTGCGCCTCACCCTTACTATTCTGACAAGTCTGGCATTTATTCTACAATGTATCTGTTTTGTTGTAATGTAAAAATAGTGTTTATAGCTACTTAAAATTGCAACTCTAGACAAAAAAAAATGTACTCCTACCATGATTTCTAGCAGCACCTGGCCTATATGTGCATAATTTTGGAGTACCTCATATTGTACCTTCATACAGACAACAGGGCTATGGATCTAATCCAAGCTGGTTCACCAGCCCCTTCTCTCACCTCTCCAGCCAACACAATTATTTGCAACCATAGTAACAGTCAAATTTCAGCCTGTTTTCCAATCCCTGGTCTTTAATAATTAGATCCTTGTCCATCTTGCGGAAGATAATACCCATCCTCCCCAACCCTACTTAGGTGTGATTTTACTGAAGTCTTTCCTCAATTCTCTTCCTCCCCGCAGTGTGTGGATACTTGGTAATACTTCCCTAGTTTATCACACTGTTTGCATTTGCTTCCGTGGCTGTCTCCCATACTAGACAGTGCTGTCCCTGGAGACAGACCCCTGCTTTAGTCTGTGTAACATCCCCAGTGCCAAGTACAGCTCTGCCATTCTGGTAAATCTCTGGGCCATTGGAAACTGGCCTCATAATGAGTAACCCAATCCCTCAAGAGAAGGCAGGAGAGTTGACCATAAAATTTAAATTAAACACAAATCGAAAGATCTGAGCACATCTCCAGTCTTGAGTTTCTTTCCTAATATAATGCCAGGTTCCCCATGAAAGGGCCGTTGAGCGCGGTCGCCCAAAAGTCGTGAGAGATCTGGCTTGGCGAAGGAGTCACTCACCAACTCGTGGAAGGCGGGTATCTGTTCTCCAGCGTTTTGGTCCAGGGCTTGTACCAGCTGATCTGCTCGGCCGCTTTGCCCCAGAACCGCTCGGGGTCGGCCACCGAGGCCGCGAAGTGGGTCTTGTACTCGCCGCCCCCACCTGCCGACGACAGCGCTCGGCAGCCCCGGCTCCCGAGAGCGCCCCGCGGGCCGGGGGCCACGTACGCCCTGCGGGCCGGGCCGGCTCCCCGGGCTGGAGAGGACCCGGGCAGGGACCCCCCGAGTCCCCCGGCGCCGGTGACTTTGCGACACTGCAGCCAGGACGGCTTCATCGCCGCCAGCCGGGCCCCCCTCCCCCTCGCAGGCTGTGCCGCCCGAGGTCCCAGAGTGCACTCCTCAGCGACAGCCGGGGCTCTCCCGACTTCCAGAAGGCGGCGGGCAGGGGGCGGGAGGCGGAGGCAGCTCCCGAGGGGAGCCCGGGGCCTTGGAGTTTGGAAGGCACACTAGGGCTGCCGGGAAAAGCCGACCTGGAGCGGCGGGGGGAGCCACAGGCTGGAGTGGGGGCGGGGGGGGCGGGGCAGGGGCCGGGGCCACAGCGGGAGAAATCCAGCCCCTGCGTGCGTCCCCAGCCGCGCGGCTCCCCCACGAAAAGCCCCCTGTTGCTGCAGAACGTCCTCCCTTCCCCGACACGCCAGGGGCCCTCGGGGGAGGCCGACGCACCCATCTCGCTCTCAACAGACAAGTTTTCAAACAAACAGGTTGTGCGCAGCTTCCGTGGCTCCATCTGTGCACAGCCAGCTGGTGGAGGCGCATCGCCTCTGGCCTGCGGCGGAAACCAAAACCCCTGGGCTCTGCGGCAAGGCCCCTGCAGTGTTCGTTTCCTTAGTTTGTTATTTTTAACTCAGCTCAGTCCCTGGTTATTAAAAACACCAGCGGCTCCAGGGCAAGGGCTGCTCCAGGATTTCATGACAGCTGAGAGGGTAGGAGGAGTGGAGGAAGGTTGCGCAAAATTGGGGAGTAGTGATTGACCGGCTCCTGGGGAAGACAGACCCGCGGGGTTGAGGATCCACCAGCTGCTCGGACTCCCCCCCACAGATCTAGAGGTGGAAAGCAGAACGGACTTGTTGCATTTCTTCCCCTCCAATTTGCCTCTTTGGAGTTTCTGGGGCCCTTTCCTTGATGGGGGGGGGGGGGGTTAGCCAAAAAGAGGAGCTAAGTAAAGATAAAGTGAATCAAACAAAAGAGGAAGAGGAAGCTGGGGAAAATTAAAAGACAAAGGCAGTATAAATTACTATCTGGGTTTAACATTCTAAAAGCTCCTTCACTGTTTTTTACACCCAAGTGAAATTCAGATGCAATCCTGTTTGCCTTAGCATTTGCGGTTTTAAATGTAAAGATGTGTATTCCCAAAACTGAGGTGAGAAATAGTGGAATGCCCCTGACCCGAGGAAGGATTGTAAACTTGAGAAGCTGTAAAATCAGATTACTTTGCAGGAAAAGAATAATGTGGAGATAAAGGTTAAAAAAAAAAAAAAGAAAAGAAATATAATGCAAAACAAAGAAAATTTAAATAACCACTTCGACTATTCCCTTTCAACTGAGAAACAAGGCACTAGACTTTTTCCTGACACCGGCAGCCTACTTTATTCCTTCCAACGGCTTCAGATCAAAGGATTTCCAGTAGCCAGAGACATTCACTACCTCTGGAACTCAGAGATAAAGCCATTTAACCTCCTAGCCCCCTGCTTTCCTCTGTCCAGTTGCTTAATGTTGCTTCCTGGTATTTAAGATCACTAGACTCCAAATTATCCCCTATTGTATTATAATGATGTTCACGTCAGTCATTTGTTTAACAAATATGTGAGTACCTACACTGCAAGTGAGATGTGGTTTGTTGGGGGATATTTGAAGGAGGGAAGCAGACAGTTTATTGGCACCTACTCTGTGTCTTTGTGGTGCTACCCTTTCAAATATGTTAGTTCCTGTGATTTTCAAAGAAGTACAAAGAAGTGGGAACTATAATCCCCATGTTTACAAATGGAGCTTAGAGATGGGTTAACTTGCTTGAGGTCACACAGCTACCAAGCAGAACAGGATTCAGACCTTGTTGATCCTCAGAGCTCAGCAGCCCCTATACCTTTAAATACCTGTGTGCCAGAGATACTGATCGCCGTGCTTCAAGGTAGAGCGCTCACTCAGGGTCAGTTCACTCCGCTCCCGTCCCTTACCCCAGCGTACTCTACGAATAGTACCATTTTCTCTGTGTGCCATGACTTGAATAAGGTAGGGAATCTGACTCTGAAATCCATGGTTTTTGCACCAAGCTGATCATCCTCCTATTTAGAGAGAGACAGAGAGAGTAAGAAACAAGGAAGGAAAGAAGGGAGGAAGGGAGGAAGGAAGGAAGATTGATTTTGGACTCCCAGTAAAATATGACTAATTGAATTCCCGCATCCATTCCTAGAAGCCTGCTGAAAGAGAATCAAAGAGTGACAGTGATGATGGTGGCAAAAAGCCACAAGGACAGAGAGAATAGGCGAAAAGAAACCAAAAGAGAGAATGGAAAGAAGATGGATTCATTGTTATATGACTTACAGGGTCACTTTAGGGTGGGGATGGTCCTGAATTTAACTGCTTTTGGTCGAGTAAAGGGATTTCCTCTTCAGAAACCTGGAATGTGTCAGGATTTTGAGGTCCTGGTTTCCTCTGAAGGTTCAGAATGAAGGTCAAGGGCTTCAAAACACACACATTAATTAAAAGATTGTGTGAGACAAAGTTAGATCCCTGAATTGCTGGGTGAAACCATTTTCTCGGGACTTGGCAGTACACTGTCTTATTTTAAGTAATTGTACAAAATAGATCGTTAATGTTAAGTTCCAAATCAGATGTGAGTGAAGGCACAGTCCAGCAAAGGCAAGAAATAGAGTGGACAAGTAGAACAAGGGTGACCAATGAGGCTAGAAATTTTTCTTGGGAGCTCAGTACAGAAGTGCAAAATAATGTCAAATGCAGGCCAGAGCCTGAGGGTGCACCATCGGCCTTTAAATTAAGACACTCAAAGCCACTGAGTCTCAGTTTGAATACTAGTACTGCCACTTATTAGGTAGAAATTTGGAAAATTTATTAACTCGCCTACACTGTAATATCAGTAATCTGTATTCTGAGGCTCATGATTCTTACCTCACACTATCGTTGCAAAGTTTAAATATGTATACATTGATTAGCATCAGGGCAGTAGCAAAGCAAGCTAATTTAGGACAGCAACAAAGCCTATGAACAACCAACCAAGCCTAAAGGACACCTCAAAAACCTCCAGCTTCATTGACATACCTAAAAGTTTATAATCAGAAAATTTTGAAAAAATTATTTTAATTTAAACATGCATGTACATTCTATACTGCTTCAAAAAATAAAACTGTGTTTTAAACTAATTTGGGGACAGGATAATCGCAATCTTTTCAATGTTTGCCCCTCTAAAACTCTGGCTTTTTGATACAAAATATTTATTTTCTTGTGTGCCAATAAATTGTATATATATATTTTCTCTTTTTCATTTATTTTATTTTATTTTTTCATCAAAGTAAGTGTACTCTTTAATCCCTATCCCCTACTTCCCCCATCCACCCACCGACCTCCCCTTGGTAGCCATCAGTTTATTCTCTAGAGTCTGTTTCTTGATTTGTCTCTCTCTCTCTCTTTCTCTTTGCTCATTTGTTTTGTTTCTTAAATTCCATATATGAGTGAGATCATATGGTATTTGTCTTCTCTGACTGACTTGCTTTGCTCAGCATTATTCTATCACTATCCATGTTGTTGCAAATGGAAAGGTTTCATTCCTTTTTTATGGCTGAACAATATTCCATTGTGTATATATAACATATCTTCTTTATCCATTTATCTATAGATGGACACTTGGGCTGCTTCCATAGTTTGGCTATTATAAATAATATTATAATATTATAAATTATAATAATATAAATAATGCTGCAATAATCATAGGGGTGCATATATCCCTTCAAATTAGTATTTTTGTATTCTTAGGGTAAACACCCATTAGTGTGATTACTGGATGGTAAGGTAGTTCCATTTTTAATTTTTTGAAGAAACTCCCTACTGTTTTCCACACTGGCTGTACCAATTTGCATTCCCATTAACAGTGCAATAGATTCTTTTTTCTCTACATCATCCCTAACACTTGTTTTTGTGTTTTTTATTTTAATCATTCTGACAGGTATGAGGTGAACATATCTCAACATAATAAAGGACTTATATAAAAAACCCACAGCCAACATCATACTTAATGGTGAAAAATTGAGAGCTTTCCCCCTAAGGTCAGGAACAAAGCAAGGATGTCCATTCTCATCACTTTTATTCTGTATCTATTGAAGTGACAATATGGTTTTTATCCTTTCCCTTATTGATGTGACATATCACATTGATTACTTTGCAAATATTAAACTACCTTGCATCCTGAGAATAAATCTCACACGACTGTGATGTATGATTCTTTTTAAAATATATTGTTGGATTAGGTTTGCTAATATTTTGTTGAGGATTTTTCCATCTATATTCATGAGAAATATTGGCCTGTAGTTCTCTCTCTCTCTCTCTCTCTCTTTTTTTGTGGTGTCTTATCTGGTTTTAGTATCAGGGTAATGCTGTCCTCATAGAATGAATTTGGCAATTTTCCTTCTTCTTGTATTTTTTTGGAATAGTTTAAGAAAAATGGGTATTAACTCTTCTTTAAACGTTTGGTGGAATTCACCTGTGAAGTCATCTGGTCCTGAACTTTTGTTTGTTGGGATTTTTTTTTTTTATTACTGATTCAATTTCATTGCTGGTAATTGGTCTGTTCAAAGTTTCTATTTCCTTCTGCTTTAGTTTTGGTAGGTTATATGTTCCTAGGAGTTCATTCATCTCTTCCTAGTTGTCCAAATTGTTGGCATATAGGTTTTCATGATATTCTGTTACAATTGTTTGTATTTTTGTGTGCTGGTTGTTATGTCTCCCCTTTCATTATGAATTTTGTTTATTTGCATCCTCTCTCTCTCTCCCTTTTGAGTCTTGCTAGAGGTTTACGTAATTTTGTTGATCTTTTCAAAGAACCAGTTCCTCGTTTCACTGATCTGTTCTATTGCTTTTTAAATTTCTGCATCATTTATTTCTGCTCTAATCTTTATTATTTCCTTCCTTTTACTGGGTTTGTGTTTTATTTGTTCCTTTTCTAGCTCCTTTACATGTAAGGTTAGGTTGTTTATTTGAGATTTTTCTTGCTTCTTGAGTTAGGCTTGCATTTCTATAAACTTCCTGCTTAGAGTCGCTTTTGCTGCATCCCAAAGACTTTGGACCATTATGTTTTCATTTCCATTTATTTTCAAACTGGACAGCAACATGCAAAAGAATGAAACTGGAATACGTTTTTACACCTATAAGAAATATAAA